AACAACAGGATTCCCCCATCCCTCTGCTGTTAGTAAATGTGTGTTTTATTTATTTCCTCCTGCATTTGCCTCCTCTCCAAGGTAAACAACGCTACTTTAACAAGTTTTCCATGCTGATAATTCTTATTTCTCTTTCCCAAAGCCATTTAGTCCGGTGGGAAGCTCTGGGAGCCGATGATGGTTCTGAGCAGACAGCAGGAGTGAATCAGGCATTTATTTAATGACATTATAATCTTCCCTGTATTATTCTTCACCCTACTTACCCCTCCCAATGTTTTCTTGCTGTTCCAGCGAGGAGAGTTCTTCTTTCAGCTGCTGAAAATGATGCCCATCATTGTCCTGAGCTGCTGCAATTAACGTTGAAGCTCGTGAGGGACCTGGGTAGTTCCCACTTTCCTCTCCTGTATCCATTACTTTATATTTCCCCACTCAGTTCCTTTTGCTCTCTTTGAATGTTAATTCAGGCTGGATGTTCCCAGGGAAGCTCAGGAATGCAGCCCTGCCAGCATTTGCATGTGGTAATAGCGTTTCATCTCCATGCTGGATGTGGCTCACTCGTAATGTTTTCACGTGTCTATCACCCAGCTTATCCCAAATGCTCATTTTGAGTAATTTTAACTGGCTAGAAGGATACTTCAGATTTATTTCTAAATGTTTCTGCTGGCATAGTGTAATTTTTGGCAGGCAGACAATTTTCCAAATCAGAGTGGAATTCCTATGCAGGTACATATTTTATTTCCTGTAATACCTGGAGAGCACATGAAGTTGTATCTCGTTACAACTGAGCACCAAGGGGAAGCATAACACTTTAAAACCTGTATAAATAGGGGATATTTTATGTCAAGCTTCATGAAATAAGATTTCAAGCTTTGATTTCTAATATTATTACGATGCCTTTAATTCATCTATATACTTTTAGCTGTTATCCATTTAGAGTTTTGAAACTTATCTTTCAAAGCCTGCTTGGACTGGATGATCTGAAAGGTCTTTTCCAACTTTAATGATTCCATGGTTCTGTGTGCTAATAAATATAAGGAACAGATACAAGGAGCACTGGATTCCAATGAAAAATGAGGTTTGGATCCCAATGAAAAATCTACTGTAGGGTTGTTTATTGCCAGGACAAGGCCTGACCCGTGGGCAGACAGGGAAGGTGAGTCTGTTTGGAGCTGGAATATGCTTTGGACACGGTGCAGTTGTGGCCATGAAGCCAACGTGGACACTGTGAATTATTGCTCTTGCTTTGCAGCAACTTTAAGCTGCCTGCACTGGATTTAGGGCCATCCTGTGGCTCTGTGCCACTCCTGCCACATGGATTGCTCTGCTTGGACGCCTGAAAATTGGGAACTGCCTTTCCTGAGCCCTGGGCTCTTCAGTGGATTGTCCTGATGTGTTTGTCAGTGCTCTGCAGAGATGGAGACAGTGGCAAGGATGGAAGAAATACCTGTGGGGTTCCAGGATAAAGAAGAACATCAAGGGAGTGAACAAATGGATGGAGATGAAGATCCATGTTGTGTCCAAGGGGTGCCACGATGATGGTGGGTGCAGCTGAAAGGTAAAGGACAAATTAACACTACTCATAAATGATAAACTAGAATGACTCATAAAAAAAGCTGAAATGTAGAGTCTGACACTCAGCCACACAAAAAGCAACACTGGGACAGGGACCCTAATGTTATTCCAGCTGTCTGAACCTTTCAGACTTACAGTGAATATTAAAATACCCCCTTGAATGCTGTCAGGAGGAGTTGCTAATATTAGGATTTTACAGGAGTGCCTGGATGTGCATAAGAAACAGGGGACAGAGCTGTGTGCCTGTGCTATGAAAGAGAAGCAGACAAATTCACAACAGCCCTCCAGTAAATATAAAATACTCCAGATCAGCCCTGATGATCTTGGGGCCTCCTAAAAAGTTTAAAAAGTGTTTCAGGGAGAAACTTTCCTGAAGTGTTTTATTAAACCCATGCTCCTCCTGACACATTGATGAAGTTCTTCTCCAGTGGAAGCTCCAATGAGTTTAATTTTATCAGGAAAACACATGAAAATCAAGCAAGAGAAAAACCATCAAACTCTAATAAATCTTTTAAAACAAATTAAAGTGATGGCTGAGCTGACATATTCAATTTTCAATAAAAAAAGGATTTCCAGCAAGCCACGGGCATTACTCAAAGACTTAAATCTGCAAAACCAGAATCCTGCTTGTTTGTTTGCACTTGAGTGCATTAAATCAACTGGGTGACTGGTCTGTAAAACAAGGCACTGCCCTCACTGTGGTTCCCAGTGATGGAATGTTCTTATAAATAACAGATAAAGAGGGGGGAAAAATGACTTTTCAATTAACTTTCCACGCACAAATGCTGTGAGGTTTCATGTTTGGCTCATCTGCAGTTCAGATAATTAATGATAAGGTGTAGGATTTGTGTAGCAGAATCATAATTAACGAGCTATATATGTTTATGTTGTTCATGCATTTCACCACTGAATAGGGTTGGATGTACCCCAGGGCACTTCCCTTTGTTACTTGCTCAACTGAACATATAAACAGTGGGAAAAGAAAAAAATCCCAATCCTAACTGGAAAATTTCCTTCCTCTAAGTTGCTCATTTAAGGATAATTCCCTATAAAATAACCATTAAATAACAAAGTAGAGTATTGGTGCAAGTATTTCACTGCACACACAGCAGTGCTGTCTGAAAAAGCACCTTATTGGGGTCCTCTGAGAAGCTGAAGGTAAATGTAAGGATGAAAACTATGATTTAGGACCAGGACTGTTGGTTCCTGTGTCATTTCTATCCTCTCTAATTCTGCAGCCAAAGGGCTCCTTCCCATTCCAACTAACAGAGATCAACCCCACATCTCTCATGTGTCTTTATTTCATTTTCTTCATTTCTTTCATCCTATATCCCCATTTTATTGTGAGCAAAGAGATATTTCCTCCTAATGACTGAATAAACTCCGGAAAATAATGTGTTGATTTGCTAATTATTCTCTCTGACTTTATTAGTAGTCTTAGCTTGATGTGTTTCTGATTGTTTAGGCAGCATTTTTCCAATCCTGAAGCAATTTTAAGGTCTAACAAGTGATGTACATTGGGTGCCACAGCTTTTACAGCCCAGTTTATTCAGCTTTTGATGATTTGTGCCTCCTGCCCCACACCCCACCTTTGAATCTCTCCCTCATTGCCTTCAAAGCTTGGGCTGCTCTTCCCATAATGAAATAATTAATATTGCTGACCAAAAAAACAAAAAAAAGGCAAGGCATGAATACAGCACAAAAGTGGGTTCTGACCTCTAATTAAAAGGAGGGTGTGAGTACAAAAGAAATCCCTCTTTTGTAATTATTCATCCATATTGTGCTTTTAATGAGTGTTTGGTGTGGAGCATCAGGAGCTGGGACGTTACTGATTGCTCAGGAGCTGAGCAGGGAAACTTTGTTCAGGTTTGGGTTGTTTATTTTTTTTGGTGTGTGTGTGGAGGACACAAATCTTTATTGGAGAAGGTCTGTCAGTAACAGCACAGTAGAAATGACTGTTGAATATTCCTGTAATTTGTGGTGAGCAGCACACAGGGTGGGTCCCAACTCACTTGGGAATTTCTGGCTGTGAAAGGGCTGTCAGGTGTGACAGCAAGAGTTAATGCTGCAGGATTTGTCAGGGCTCTCTGACTCCCCTGACCTCAGCTTTAATTCAGCCACCTCTTTCCATCTTCAGTGGGCACAGGACTAATGTGTCACACGAATGGATTGGTTCTTGTTTTTCATATTAATGGGTCTGCACCCTCACAGTGCTGATTTTGTTGGTGGTGTCCATCCTATTAACCAGGCAGGCCAGTAATGAAGGCATTAAACCCTTCTAGAACAGGGCTGTAATATAAAGTTCCTCAAGAATTACTATAAGGCTTAAGCAAATGTTCTATCTCTAAATTTCCAAAGCCTACACCGTAATTAAAAGGAAGGAAAAGCACTCCCAGCTAATAGAACTCCACAGAAGACACTTTCCCTTGGACTTTTTGTTTTAACACACAGCGTTCCTGCTACGTGATTTGTTGACATTTGAGGTTATCTTAAAAGTCCACCAGTTCCTCCTTTATGAATATGCTGATTGTCCATTATAAATCCATCTTCCTCCAGGTTAAGAGAACTTGTTATGTACCAGAAGTTCTGTGCAGGCTCTCATTTGTCACTGGCACATTATTTTTTTTCCTCTTTAGAAGAACAAGCACTTGGTCAGCAAGGAAATAATTTAATTGGGAAGAGAAAAGGCTCTTTCCTCTCTCTTTTTCGCTCCAGCAAAAATGATACCCATAGTTTAGCTTTGTAAATCACGGTGGACTCAATTCCACTTTATCCCATCTAAAAACTGCTGCTCTCTGGAGTCACATCTCAGAGCTCTCTCTTATTTTGTTGTTGAAGTTAAATCTGACTTGTTTGCTCAGTGTTTTAATATCAGAATTAAACCATGAGCTGGAAGAGCTTCCCTTCCCAAACTAGTCCTGAGCTAGAAAGTTCTGCAAGTTGATTAATCTCTCGTTGCTTTGAATTATCTCAGTTCCTGCTGAATTCATAACTCACATTTCATATTTGTCTGTTAACAGGCAGCTCCCAGTGTTGTGTAAATTGTATGTATTGGATTTAAGCAGGTGAGATGAGAATAAAAAGAAGAAAAAATAGGCTTAAACAGCTTGAAAACCGTCGAGTGCTAATTGTGTTACTTCATCCTTTTTGATGAGACAATAAGTAAGTTTTAAAAGCTCGTGTTTATAGATCTGTTGTGCAGATTTTAAAAACCACAGCAAAGCTCTAAACGGAGCAATCCTTAGCACAGAAAAAACACTCATGTGAAACCTGTTAAAAAATTACTGATGACGTTTTTCATGCTCCATTCCTAGAACCAAGCAGAGAAGTTAAAATTTACACTGAAGATTTAACAAAAAAAAAAAAAAAAAAAAAAAGGCAAAGTGTAACTAGAAAAGGAAAAATATTTAAAAGTTAAGACTTTTGGTGAGAGTTGATTGTTTTCAATATTTTTAATTTGGAGGTTGATTTATGCTGGGTTCCATGGCCACTGTGAAGCCCCACATGGAGGAGAGGACACCCAACTGCCTTTCCATCTCCAGCCACCCCCTCACTCTGCCCACAGGGAGGAGCTGCCCGTGCAGGTGAGTTTTTAACATCTAAACCTTTCCCATGTTGCAGAATTCGTGCTGTGATAGCAAGAAAATGCTCCTGGGATTTTGTGGGTCTCGAAATATTAGTGATTAATCGACACTTTGAGCCCTCACCCAGGAAGGGATTTATCTGCAACATGTTCTTAAAGTTATTTCATCCTGATATTAACTTTTTTAGGTCACTCATTATTGGGAGTTACCATAGTTATCTGAAGGTTACAATTACAAATATTTCTATGATAGAAATGCAAGTAAGGGGAAAAAACCTCAGACGATTTTTGCTTGTTAAAGGTCTACAAGAGGAGCAGAGAATTTATACTGGAAAGCAGAAAATTCAGTCTAATGGCTACCTTTAAAACTCAGTTTGGACTCAATAAGAAAATTTCCTCTGGCTCAAAAGGGAGTTTATTTAGATCCTGGAAAGAAAAAAAAAATATATATATATATATATAAAAGATATAAAGAAGGTGGGAAAAACATCAAAGCACAAGGGGTTTAGAGCTGGACTGGCTGGTGGATAAGTTCCACTGATGGATTTTTATTGTGGGAGCTCTTGGCTGGGGTTGTAGCAAACAATGTGAAGCAAAGGAATAAATCTCCAGGGCTGGAGTTAGTGTGTCTGCCAGGGATATAATCACACGTAATGCAGTAACCTGACATGGCACTGCCTGGCAAAACAGGCAGATGGGAGTTGGATGCCAGGAGAGGGCCATGAAATTGGGCTGCTTGGCCTTAAACCAAGTTCTCAGCACGACAAAGCCACGAGAGGGAACAGGAGAAACGTCTTTGTGAGCAGGAAAAAAAGAACCTGAGACCTCAGGAGCACACCCTGCCTAGGAGAGCAGTTTTGCAATGAGTTATGGCTTTGTCCCACCAGAATGATGTGTTTTGACTGCTGTGATTATTCTGGAGTCATTATTTAGTGGTATTTTTAGCCTTTCCCTGTGCCATGCCAGTAAAACCTACAGGGGATGGGGATGTTTTTGGAAGTGCCACTGTCACGTCGTAGCTCAGTGACAATACATCTGGGAGCAGATGTGGCTGGAATATTTTATTTATAGATGCAAATGAATCCAGTGTGGGTCAAAAATAAATCAAGCAGGCTAGTCCAAACAGGTGTACATTCCCCCCCAAACCAGCACAAAGCTCAATTATTTCATAATAATCTTTCCTAAAACAAACTAAGAAGTTACTAATTATCACAACCATATTTATTCTGCTCTAAAATATATCTATTGCACTTGTTCCTAAGACTTCTCAACTAAGCCTAAATGTGGGTATTTAAAATCTTTTCCAAATGCTAAATGTGTTGTAGACATTTGCAAGTTTTATGTTATGGCACCATAAAACCCCTAAAGAGCCCAAAGCATTTAAACTGTACAGAAAAGCTCCTGCAACTCATTGGTTTGCCTCAAATGTGATGATTTTTCATGTGCCCAAGATGAACAGCAGAAGAGGGAATTCCAGGTATTTATTCTTGGCCTCAGTGGACCTTTTTCATATGTACAATTGGTTAGTTAATAGTATTTGAACTTTTATTCAATGGAAGTAGTCAGGGCTCTGCCTTGATAAGCATTTTTTTTTCTTTGCCAATGTGGCACAGGAAAAAATAATAATATCAAACTGTTGCCTTTTTAAAGGAGTCATTATCTTTTTATTCATCTTCTGATGAGAGGAATTTATTCATCTCTCAGCAGCCATTTCTCACTCTCTTTTTCTGGTGAATGGATCTTTTGTGAGGCAGCAAAATCTTACCTTGACCTGTAACCAAGTTCTGAACCTCTCTCTCTATAAGAGAATTGCTCAAATGCCTTCTTTTTAACATTGTGCATTTAACTGAGTGCCAGGAGCTTCAGGGTTCAAAGAATGGAATTTCATTGCCTGTGTTCAAACCCAATTCCATCTGTAAAAAAAAAAAAAAAATAGGGATTTATTTTTCACCGTGAATTACTCAACCTTTATGCATCTGGATGTGCAGCATTAGCAGAGGATTTCAAGTAGTTTTACAAGAAGTGGTTTAACACCTTTCTGAGAGGTGGTGGGAGATGGTTGGAGGGATTGTTGCCCAGGGAAGCTGTGGCTGCCCCATCCCTGGAAGTATCCAAGGCCAGGCTGGAGCAACCTGGGCTGGTGGAGGTGTCCCTGCCCATGGCAGGGGTGGGACTGGATGGGCTTTAAGGTCCTTTCCAACCTAAACCATTCCAGGATTCCATGGCTGGCTGTGAAGATCCAGACTCCACTTTCAGCACAAGTCACTGCAGCAAAATGTGCAGCACTGGATAGTCCATATGTTGTGTTTCTGTACTCTTGTAATTAGAAAGGAATAAATACTACAAGAATTCAGTGGTTAGTGAAGTTCACATCCCTGCTGTTTCCTCTCCAACTTCATGGACATTTTACTTTTGTATATACAGTTGTTTAAGTATTAATTAATTTAGCTATTAAATTGTGGGGAATTTAATAACAAGCAGAATGGAAATGGTAAATTAAATTAGATGCTGTGTAGTAAAATCCTCCCAAACACATTCCTCCCATCTAGGTTCAATATAACCCAATTAAAACCAGGATAGAACTCATCCCTTTGTCTTAATAGGCATATTAAATTAGCTATTTCCTCCTAAGATAAAAAAAAACCCAAACAACCACGCTTAGAAACAAACCCCACAGTGTTTAGGACTGGGAAAAGAGTTGGTTTCTTGTCCCCTGCTATTTGTAATCTGTGATTAAGTGGTGTGAAATGGGGCTAAGCCTTCCTGGCAGTACCTTAGAGCTCTTCCTCCTCCCCTGTGCACTCCAAATATGTCTGGAACAAAAGTGGAGCATGGCAGGGCTAATCTTCATTTTCACCACAGTGCTGGAAAATCTTCTGTACTGATGTAAACTCTAAACAAAGGCTGTCATATGTTTAATCCCACAGAGCTGGAGCTCTCACAGAGGCATGGATATAAAGAAAGAAACCCTAATGGTGTGTAGTTCCTGCCTTCCGTGGTAAGTGGAAGATGTTTTTTCTGTCTCCACGCATAAAGATCATTTCTTGGGTGAGGTTTGGGGGTATTTTTTGGTGTATTTTGTATTTGCAAAATTTGAAATCCTGCTGATTAGAGGATTAGAAGAATATTTGGGTTGGTACTCAGAGATGTTGTCAAATGTGCTTGCAGTGATGCTGACCTCTGTTGCAGGATATTGTGATCGTGGCACATCACAAGACCAAAGGAAATGGTTTTAAACTTAATGAGATTGGGTTTAGAAGAGATTTTTGGAAGAAATTCTTCCCTGTGAGGCCCTGGCACAGGTTGGGCAGAGAAGCTGTGGCTGCCCCAGCCCTGGGAGTGTCCAAGGCCAGGTTGGAGCAACCTGGGCTGGTGGAAGGTGTCCCTGCCCATGGCAGGGATGGCACTGGATGGGCTTGAAGGTCCTTCCAATCCCAAACCATTCCATGATTCCATCATGCAAGTTTACACCTGGTTTTGACCTGAACCACTTTCCAAAGTATCTGGCCTTTTTCAATAATTTATTTGTACAACTCTTTAGTCACCAATACCTCTATTCCCATATCACATATTGTACCTGGCTCTCATTTTTTATTGAAATTTTTAAATTGAAATTTGTAATTACAATAATCACTATAGTGATACAGTAAATTCAGTGATTATCAGTGTTTCAGTAAATAATTTGGCTCTGTGGCTCCTCAACACCCACTGGATGTTCACAATGGAGTTGTTCTACTGCAGGTACTAACTAATAATGGGAACTACTTGCTTTCCATTAGGTAATTACACCTATTAGTTAAACTCTATTTAATCACAGTATGTGTTATTTAAACCTTGGGGCAGAAAATATTTCTTAATATATACAGGAGTTGTTTGGGTGAATGATTCCATTGAATATTGTTTATTAATAATTCACAGCCACGATGTTGCTGTAATTTTCCCCCCCAAAAAAAAACATTTAGCTGGTAACTCTGATGATTTCATGGCATTTTCCTCCTAAAGAGGCTCTGGATCTTCCTGTGGAATTTTTTTGGGTTTATCTAAGTGTTTATTATTTTCAAGATCAAATTTATCCATGTTGCTTTCCTGCTCATTAAAATAGGAAAAACTGATAAGCAAAACTGCTTTCCTATTGATTAAAAGTTGTTTCTACTTATTTGTTCCGTCCTTCAGAGCATCACGAATCAGGCTTGATGATCTCTGACAGTTTGCATGCAGTTGTCTTGTTCAGAGGCACAGCTGAAAGGGACTAATTTAAGCTGCAGAAAATGCAACAGCAGCACTTTAATTTTTAATTATTTTGTGGCATGTGTTGAAAAAGAAAACCCACAGAATAATGCCAAGCAGGGCAAAGAGGGTTTCTGAGCACTTAGTCTGGGAAATCCCCCTCCAAAACCATGAAGCTAAAGACTCAGCCAAGATGATGTTATTTTTCTAATTTATTTAGTTATTTTACCAGCTGACTTGGTTCTCAGTGAGTAGGAAATTCAGTTTTCCCTTTGAGCACTTATCAATATATATGATCACAGTGTATATATATATATATATAAATATATAAGTGCTCCACTTTAAGGTCATTCATTAGGCCTGAGCTACATTTGCTCTTACAAGAAATGTTCCAATTTGTGGTGCTGCAGCTGTAAAAGGAGAACAGTGGCTGCTAATAAAGTGTGAGAATCCAACCCCCAACATATTTTAGCCCTGTTAGAGGTTTCCTCAAGCAGACTTCATTTGCAGGGTGAGTTACTCCCCTCCACCCCATCATAAATGTCAGCTCTGCTGCAGGGATCGTAGTTCAGCCTCCTGAGGTGGTAATGAGCCAGCATGGCACAAATATGAGAGAAGTGTAAATAAATATCCAAGGTATTACGGTGGCATGACAGAAATGATGATGAGATCCATAATGTCCAGATTCAGACGCGCTCCTGGAAGAGCAAAGGAGGTTTTGTTGCTTAAAAATGGCATAAAAAAGGTAAATTACCTCACCTGGGCATCATGCTTGTCTGATTTAAGAGCTGCTTAACTCACTGTCTGAAAGGCCAGTCCCATTTTTCCCCCCTGTGATTCACCCAGAGCGCAGGAAGTTATGAGAGAGAAAAAGCTCGGGAGCTGTTAACACTATTTTATGTTGGGATTGATGCCCAAGCCTGCCAAGTAGCACAGATGCCTAATACACTCAATTTGTAAAGGAGATTTTAATCTTCACGAGTACATATCTTTTCACTTTCAGTCCCTGGCTCTCCTGAGTGAGAGGGAGAAATGATCAGCCAGGCTGGGGGCACTGAACCAACAGAAAGAAGCCTCCAGTCCCTGAGATGGGCACTAATGGATTCGAAGGCTGACTGTGAAAGTACCTGCTGTTCAAGTGTAAAACTTGCATGATTTTTTTTTTTTCAGTAAATCACCATGGGGTGTGAGGCAAAAAAGCTCGACAGGGCGGCAGAATGGCAGGGGAAATGCGGATTTTTGGAATGCTTGGGATTGAAATGCAGCTTCCAAGAGGAGTCAGGGCCTGTCTTGTGGATGGGGGAGCTGGAGGGAAAAGGTGAGGGACACTTTGCTCTTAGGATCAGCCTCCACTGGTGTTTCTGTGTATATATATGTATAAAATACATGTATTTGTGTATATATATATATCTATATGCACAAGCTCATCCATGTTCATATCTGTGTCATAGACCAGTTCACATTTTGGTCTCTTTTATTTTAGCTTCTTTTAGGCCAACAGGTCCTGCTCTACACAAAGCCAGCAGACATAAAACAACATCATGAAGGAGGGGGAGAAGTGGTGGAGAGAGAAAAAATGAAGGGGAGCACATTCTGTAAGTTCTGGGTCAAGATTTTAATGGGTTTGGGGTTTTGCTTTAAAGTGCTGGTGAATTTAACTACAATCTGGTGTGAGTTCTTTTTTTCTTGACTGTAAGACAAATCATTTACTTCAGGACATGTTTAAAATAACATCATCATGCAGCATCATTCTCCTTTCTTAATGGCTGCATTTCCATCCTCTAATAGTGTGGTTTCTGTATTTATGGGTCAGCTGATGGTATTTCATAAATATATATTTTTTTTTTCAGTTTTAACATTTGGTTCCCAATTAGAGATTTGAATCTTTCTCCATAAGGAAGGAAACTGGGGTGTGGAACATGTGACCTTTCCAACCTCGAGACCCAAACCCTGGCAAGGAATCTGTGATAAAAAAGTATCTCCGAGCTCTGTAGGTTCATGAGCCCAAGGTGAGAGTGGCACCATTGGATTATTGGAAGGCAAGGAACGAGGTCCAGACCCACAGACAAAATGTGTGGGCACTGGTTTGCACTGGGAGTTGCTGTTACCTGTGGGTGTTTCATTCTGGGGTTCAAATGCCCAAAGAGAATTGGTACTTCTGGGAAAATGGCAGTAAAATTTTGGTGGGACTGTTTGCCAGTGAAAGAGTTGCTGCAGCTGTTGGTCAGAAATCCAAAAATCCAGCCAGATCTATGGCCTATCAGCACCTTCAAAAGGATTTCTATTAAGACCATGATGCTTTGTTAGAGCTAAAATTGCTAAATCATGACTCAGCCTCAAGGATCTTCCTCTCTTCCCTCTTCCTCCCAGGCTGAATAATGCCATTTGTTTGGCTCTCCACTGACACTGAGGAAGGCAGTGCTCAGATGATTGTTCTTGATTTAATGAATGTGATGTCATTAAACCCAAAATCCCTCCTGAGGAAGCGTCACAAGCTGAAGGTGGAACTCCCAGAAACACAAGTGGTGGATGTTTAAACCCATTATACTGGACGAGCTTCTCTAGAGGGGGTGAGTTCAGAGTCAGAGCTCTCCTAATTATAATTTTTTTGCCTGATTTCAGGCCTGGAGCGTGGATTTAGCTTGACATGAGCCATCACCAGCATTAAAAGCTGTACTGAAGTGCTTGCTAAAGCAGGACACCTGTGCATGATGTCAATGATGCAGCGAAGGAGCTGCTGTTAAGATGCCTCTTCACAGACATAAAGCTCTGGGGATAAAGCCAATTTAAATATCCACAGGTTAGGCAGCGCTTTGCATTCCTGTTTCCTGGTGCATGACGGGATCTCACCCGCTCCCCAGGTGCAGATAAACACAATCATCGCTCCCATCATCCCGGATTTTCCGCTCAGCTTCCCCAGCCCTGGGCTCTGGAGCGCTCTCAGACTCCGATGGCTCCTCGTAACACATGGGAGAAGTGGCTCTAGGGCTGCAGGATGAATTCATTTGTAATATTTGGAATATTTCTATTTAAGCTGCTGCATCACACCAGGGTTTTTGTGGTATTGTGGTTTTTTTTGTTTGTTTAATTTTTTTTTGAAGGAACAAGTTGTTGTGGCTGCTGCTACGTGCAGAACTCCAACAGGCTTTGTGGAAATAACACAGATAAGCTGATGCTCCTCATTGAAAAAAAAAAAATGCTGCTTTTATAATAGCTGAGGAATTCCTATTTGTATTTCCCATTCTCCTTGTACACAGAGGATGGAATTGATTTCATGCAGCACTTGGTGCTTTTTCTGTGCTATCTCTGCTCTCACAGGGAGCAAAAGCATCTGAATGGGAGCAGATCGTGTTCTCCTGCAGGGGATTTGCTGCACTGGCTCCTGTTTGAGATGAAAAGCAAGTGGAATGGGAAGGAAACTTCCCTGTCTTGCTTTGAGCTGTGGGTAAAATCGCTCTGAGCAGTGATGTGGCCTCCTGGGAGCAAATCACGGGCTCTGAGGGGCAGCTTTTGAGCCAGGTCGGGGTGCTGGGGAGATGAACAGCAGAGGCACCTTCTGCTCCACACACAGCTTGGGGATCCTGGGGGGCTCTGCTCCCTGGCTCCTGCCAACATGGACCTCTGGAACTGGGAGGAATCCCAGGGAAGGTGCTGCTGCAGGGAGGTGGAATCACTGAACTTGGAAATGACCTACAAGATCATCGAGTCCAACCATCCCCCAGCACTGCCAAGGCTGCCACTAACCCACGTCCCCAAGTGGCTTTTAAATATCCCAGGGATGGTGATTCCACCCCTGCCCTTGTCAAACAAGACAAAGAACAGGGACCACCTTCTGCCCCCGTTGTCCTCTGTCAGCCTGCTTGGTTCACTTGCACATCTCTGGAGCATCTCCAGCCTGGCAGGAGAGAGGGGACAGAACCCAGCAGGAGGTATCTGGTGGGAAAGGGGCTGAGCAGCGTGAGCTGATTCTCTCTGGGTGGTAAAAGTGCCCTAAGCTTGACCAAAAAAATCCAAATAAACCGGTTGCCAGCTGAAGTTCTTTGTGCACAGTGTCACTGGCAAGAGAAGAAAGAGCAAACAGGTATCTGAGTTGTCAAAGGCACACCATGTCCCAGAGGTGATTAAAAATACATAATAAAAACTTACCTGGAGGGTACCTGTGAGCTCACCAAGGGTCTTTATGCCAAACGGTTTTATAATGGTCGAGGAAGAAATTATTTATTAGTTCATCAAACATAAAGGAATAGTTAATGATAACATTCATTCTAATCTTTGTTTGTGGCACGTAATTAGCAAGCTCTGCTTCTGTCTCGGTGCAGTTGGTGAGCACTGACTGGTGGAACAACATGCATGATTTATAATGATATTACAAGCCACAGTTTCTCCCCTCACAACTAATGAGTCCTAGCAGGGAGAAACAGGGAAAGCTTTTAACCAAAATTTCAGAGTCTGGTCCTGAAAAAACCAAATTGTGAACCAGCAGTTTTGTTTTGGAAAGGCTCTTTGCCAAATTGAGTGGCTGTTTCAGGCTGTTGGAAGTCATGTTTCTAGCAGTAATCGTCATTACTGGAGGGTTTGGGTTATTCCAAACATCCAACACGTTTCTGCTCAACTTCCTTACCAGCAGGGACTACTTTTAGTCCATCCTTTGTTGCTGTGAAGAAGAGGACAGGGGAGCTGTGACTTCACGACACGTTAGATGTCCAAACCAAAAGGAAACCTCTCAGTGAGCAGGAAATTGGACATGACCTTTAGATTTGGGCTTTTATCATCCTCCCAAAAGATAACTGTTCCTCTGTGGTTTCTTCAAGTACTGACCACCAAAAATTCCTTAATAATCATTCACCAACACTAATTTAAGAAAGGCTTTTAGTTGGTGTGTAGAGGTTCTTCATCTTCAGAGTCTACAGCATGGAATTTATGCTAAATAAACATCTGAGGTGGTTCTAATTTTATAATTCCAATAATCCAACTGCCCAGGATGTAATAAGTGTAATCAAACAACATTTGTGTCTGAGTTTGTCTGTTTGTTTATTTATTGCACACCTAAATTCTGCCAAGGTGGCTGTTTTTACTTCTTTTAACAGAGCCTAATATAAAATTCTGATACCTGGATCAATAATTTGGGGGGTTTGGTCTTTTCAAATGCATTATAATCCCTTTTCAAGTTGAGCCAGGAGAGGTTCAGGTTGGATTGGAGGAAACATTTCTTCACTGAAAGGTTGGTTAAGCATTGGAAGGGGCTGCCCAGGGCAGTGGTGGAGTTTCCACCCATGGAAAGTGTTCAAAAAATGAGGAATTGTGGCACTTGGATATGGTTTAGTGGCCCCTGGGGGTGTTTGGTCAAAGGTTGGACTCCAAGATCTTGGAGCTCTTATCCAACTTTGAGGATAATGGCAGGGAAATGCTTAAGGACTTTCCTGGCCTGCATATTTTAGACTTTGCAAATATTCTAAACTGCTTCAAAAGCCTCAACGTATTTAGGAGCATAAATACAGCATCAATAAATAATGAGGATTATTAGAAAGCATGGCACATGTTAATGGGCTTACCATCATCAGGGAAAAACGGTGCAAGGTAATTAAAATGCACAAAGGGTAGATACAATTAACATTATCTGCTTACAACTCACTAATGATTAGGTTTCAGACCCCTCTGCTCCTTGTGGTACTTATCAGGGCTTTCATTCTTTTTTTCAGCAAGTAATAATTGAGATAAATATTAAAAAATGTAAGTAGGGCAATATTTACTTTTGGATTTCAAATTTAGGACTTTTGCTACTCGACAATTTTTTTCTTAATAGCTCCCAGTCTGAAAAAAAAAAAAAAAAAAAAAAAAACAAACTTTGAGGCGTTTTCATTTCCAGAATTTTCATCTTTTCAGTGGGGTTTCTTTGCATTCATCATTGTTTATGCAAGGATGTTCTCCTGATCCAGGTGTGGGGCTCAGTTAAACCAAACCAGCTCAGAACCTTTGTGCTTGAAGAGAAATATATTTCATCATGAGGTGGAGTCAACAAAGCCTTTCCTTTCCCCAAAACACCACTGGAATTTAGTTTTGGGGACTGAGCAAAGCCAAAAAAAAGCCAAAATAAAGGACAGATCTGGGTGGGTGGAGCACCTTGTCCCACCTCCCTGAATTCTGCACCCAAATCCCTTCAGGGTTGAGGGTTTGGTCATGGTATTGAAAGCTGTGTGCAGTAATTTAATTAATTAATTAAGTGCATTTTGGAAATTAATTGGATTTAGACTATTGTTTATTGTCAGTATTACAAGCCCCCCTCTCTCCCCCCCCAAAATAT